TGCTGTTGCAGGCGCCGCTGCAGCGCTGCAATCAATCGGCGCTATCAGCTGTCAGCTGAGCTGAACACCGAGGAGCACTGGCTTTGGCTGTGTGAGCGCGCACGGCGGGCTGTCCTCACCAGCAGCCAGTCAGCCAGCACTGTCACCAGGGCGCCTGAGCAATCGCCGATCTTTTGGCATTTTCCTCGTGTTAGCAAACTGAACAAAAGTGTGACCATGCTGCTGCTCCGGCTGCCGCTGAACCGGATTTGTCTGCCTACCACTGCTTTCTGTGCTTTCCTCCCACGCCCCTTCGGCAGCAGCGGAAGCAGCCACTGGGTCACTGAGGAGAATGTAGTCCGCACAAAGTTGAAGGTGATTGAGGCAGAGGTCGAGCTGCTGAGGCACCGGCAGCCGGACGCGGTCCCGGCCAGGCTCAGTCCACCTCAGCTGGAGTACCTTCTCTCGCTGAATAGAACTAAGCGGCGAGGGCGGCTGCACTGGATTGACGCCTCCTGCCACCTGAGACAGGAGACACTGCAGAGAATGGCCCACCAAGAGACTTTTGATGGCGCAGACAGCTTGCTACTGCCGCTCATTGGCTCGGAGGTTTCTATTTTCTCGCTCCCATTGCATCATCACTGGTTCTAATATGTTTTCTGCATTTCCTCGCTAGACCGAAAGACTGGTGCGAAGGCGGCACCTTTCACTTGCCCCCTTCCTGCCGAACATCATCTTTGACGTTTCATTTGACGATTACATGTCCAGGTTGGAGTGTAAAAACCTCGCCGAGCAGTTGATTCGCATCTTCAACTTCAACAAGTTTGGCCTGTTCGGCAATAATCGCACCAACTTGGATCTATTCAATCTACATGTGACCAATCTGCAGTCGAGTGGCCACACTCGAACCTTTCTTGACGGTCTTTTTGGTGCAAAGACTCGCCCTTACTACCCGACGGTCCACTTTCACGACCGGCCATTCACGGAACTGTTTGAGAAGAAGCACCTCATCTACATGTCGCCGCATGCGAGCGAAGTAATGACCGAATACGATCACAATGCTTTCTACATCATTGGCGGCATAGTGGATCGCCGGGAAGTAATCGAGCTGACGCCCGACAAGTGTAACCAGCTGGGCATTCGCTCCGTTCGCCTGCCCATTGAGCTACTGGTTTGGAATGAAGTACAGTCTCTCTGTGATGTCTTCAAGCTGCTCCACGAATTCAAATACAACAACTCGGTGAAGTTTGAACAGAAATCAATGTCTGCCCTGGTGCAAAAGCACATGCAGAATAAAAAACGACGCTGAAAAGGCAGAATACTCTATCATAAGCAATTTTTAATCTCGTACATCTCAATGACTTGGCGGTCATTCTGTGATGATTGGCTCTGGAAGGGGATCCGCTTGCAAGTCAACTTCCATTTTTTAAGCAGACACTCGATAGAATGCTTAGTGCTGCGAAGCTGATGCGAAAAGTAGAAAGTAGCCCTCTTCGGATCGTTGGCATTTCTCAAGAGTAGTGAAATGGTGCACAGAAGGTATTCAAAGTCGGACTCATCGTAGAAGCAGTCAGAGCCAATCAGGTGGTCCACTTTAGGCAATGATGTTAGCTCATCGATGCGACCCCACTTAAGCGGCAAGAGGTTTGCAGCCTGCACCTTGTTCAGCTGGAGATTTTCCGCACACAAATCAGTGGATTGCTGGCAGTCAAACTTGTCAGTAAGGTAGACACGACTGCACCCAACTTTGGCAGCAATTATAGCGCAGATTCCCGTTCCACTGCCCAACTCCAGCACCGTTTTGCCGCAAAAGATCTCCGAGTTGAAGCACAAAAATTCACCCAGCACCTGAGCACAAGGCCAAACAAAGTTGGAGTATTCAGTTGAAAAGTTCTGCAAAAAGACAGTTAGATCGGAAGCACTCAAGTAGCAGTAAAGCCAAAGGTACCTCTTTGATGTTGATCTCCAGTATCTGGTCGCCCCTTGAACCCAATTTGAACCTAAAAGTCCGCAAAGTTGACATGCCAAAAGTGAAAATCTGCCTGAAAGAAGAGATTTGCAGCAGCACAGTTTGTGTGTTGCTTGTTTTGAAGCGACTATTTTGAGCGGTGCACTGCGCACAGAAATAGTGCAGCAACTCAGCTTGAGCTAGGCTGATTTTGTGTGTCTAGATCTCCCATGCATTTCATCAAAAGTTCAGTTGACCACCATTTGAGTCTGTCGCATGATCCCGAGCAGATGAGTGGCCAATCTTCACTCACCCCAGCACCGCCATTGTCCCCATTAGAAGATGCAGTAGTCGGCTTTGTAGTGGTTCGCCTCAACACGCCGTTTCCTTAGACTGCTCTGCATCGTCAACAAATTACTGATTTATTTTGTCTTTCTTTGGAAAAGATGAATGGCAATGCCCATTCTCTGGGCTCTTCATTTAACAAGATACCTCCTGATCACAATGTGGCTCAAGCAAATAAACACGTCAATCACTACCATCCTTCATCGGCGAAACCAAGGGACCATGTCAGCAGTCACCATGAGCGCCCTGAACAGATGGAAAACAATGGCTTTCAGCAGCACAAGGTTGCCGCCAATTCTACGGCGGCTCATACTCACTTGAACTCGCATCCTAATCTTAATCAGCACCCACCTAATCAGCATCCACCAAACCAACAGCAACATATCGTCGTCAATAATGAAAAAAGGTTCAAAAATTACAAACTTGTTTCGGACCCTTTGCTGCGAAAAGGTGCACAGAAGGTGTATCGCTACGATGGAGTGCCTACAAATCCGGTAAGTTAATTAGGTGCCTTTTATTATTCCACTTTTTTCTTATTGCTTTAACTATTTGATCTGCAGCGAGAACAGCCCGTTCAGGTTAAAGACCCACGGAGCTCGATGACAATTTTGGACAAAATATGGTCACATCGGGAGCCAGCAGAACTAATTTTGCCTAGGTTTAAAGTAAGTTGTTTGTGTCCGTTTTAACTTTATTTATGCTCATCGTTTCATATTCACATTGAAATTTTTAGATTGATAAGCACTACGTCGGCGTTCCACCTGCAATAGAAGTATCTATAACAAACTTGAATGACAACATCAACAACACATTTCTTGAAGACATGCTTCGAAAGTTTGACAATTGCGAAGAAATTGAAATCCTCTACCATCCGAAAACGAATAAGCATCTCGGTCTGGCAAAAGTTGTTTTCATGACGCCAGCAGGTGCCAGACAATGTGTGCAGAAGATTCACAACACATCAGTCATGGGGAACATCATCAACGTGTGCTTTGATCCGTTCTGTAAGTAGCATTTTTCTGTTTGTTTACATTTTCCTTATTTTGCATTTGTCCTCAATATCTCCTTTCAATGCAGTCAAGAACATCGAAACTGTTTATGAATCCATTATCAATCCACCTCCGGCACCAGCTCAAACAGATGCATCGTCATTCTTAGATCCAAACAGTTTAGAAAAGCTGCCTTTGACAAGCGACTTTGTCTTCACCACTGACTCAGGCATGATAGCAAATGATTTAATGAATCTTCACACTCCATCTACTTCAGGCTTTGAAAAGCAGTCATTTATGCAGTCTCAAGGTTTTGCCAGCAGTCAACAGTGGACTGATAACCCAGACGCTAGTCCAATTCGGGAAAGTCTTGATGCTCGAATTCATAACCTCATTATGATGCAGAGTGTCGGCCAGCTGTCTGGCTTTCTCAGTGAGATTGACCTCTCCGACATAAACACCTCACTGAGACTGAGCGACTCTCCTGATCATCGAAGAGTTGGACTTTCTAACCGGATCGACGATTCAGACGCCTTTCTCGGCACTCCGCCGTCGCCTTTTGTTTCCGCATCTGAGTACTTAAAGTGGCACAAGTTCACCAGGAAAATTGACACTGGTGACAATGACAGTGACCAAGGCGATGATCAGAAGGGCAGGGATGGAAAGACTGATGACGACGACGATCGCATGTCGCTCTCCTCGCTGAGCAGCAGTGAAAAGATGGACGAGATCAATGTGACCAACGGTAATCACGCCTACCCTTCCAACAGCGACCCGAGCTCCTCCGGAATGCCGCTGGCACCTGGAATGTGGAAACAGGGCATGGGCGTCGGTAGTTTCAACTCGTTCATGGCAGGCAAAAACCTGCCCGCATTTAACGGCTCAATGATGCCCTCTTTCATGTACCATTCATATGTGCAAGGATTCTCTCGATTTTCCGGATTCAATGGGCCTTCCACTCTAGGCCTACCTGCAGACATCTTCAACCAGGATTTGTCGCCAACGAAGCAGTGGACCAGCAGGCCAAAGGAGAAAGAGAATCGACACGAAATGCTCATCAGCAATATACTAGCCGAATCGTCCAAATGTCTAGTGAAGGACCTGAAGGATATTCTCATCAAGGACATCTTGAAGAGGATCGTGGAGAACTACTCCTTTAAGATGTTTGACAAGTGGTGGGAGGACAATGAGCGAAAGTCAAAGTCAACGGCAGAGAGTAAGACAAGTGCCGGCGATGCAGCAGCGGAACGCTCCGAAAGCACTGCCCGTGGCAAAGACATTAACATTCCACTCTTTAACCCACTCTTTAATAACTCAATATCTCAAAACCGCCATGATCACATTGTGCCTAACTTTGAGTTTGGTCTCACTCGAGGCATGAGGATGGCCATTCCAAAGCTGCCATCCTTCAAACGGAAAATCGTCAAAAGATCTCCGAATCGCGCATTTAACGACAAGCTCTCGGACATTTCCGATGACGAGGATGAGATTCGAAAGCCTCGAAGGGATGATCGAAGACGCGATGACGAGCGGAGAAGGAGAAGAAGGCGTCACTCGGTCAGCTCGCAAAGTAGTCGCAGCAGTCGATCATCGCGGAGCTCCTCTTCGTCCTCCTCCTCTTCCTCGAGCAAGTCGTCTAAATCCTCATCTGACGATGACCGCTCTTCTACCTCTTCATCGGAGAACTCCAGTGCTTCGGAGAAGTCCGATGGGAGTGACTCTGACTCATCTGATGCATCTGCTTCATCCGCCTCCTCCAAAAGGTCTACACTTTCTTCATCATCTTCTGCCTCATCTAAAGTTTCTGCAAAGTCACTAAGCTCTCGTTCATCGAGATCATCACGTTCATCATTGGTCAAGAGGTCGCGATTGTCGCCGATTAGTGTTTCCCCAATAAGTGACACCTCCAGTCCGGCGAGAGCAGATGCACTGCATGAGGAGAGCACAGCTGCGCCAAAGTTGAAGCACGACGATTTGTCGGAAATCAGCGCCGACAATGACAGTGATCTGGACACTGACCGAACCGACACGGCGGACGAAGATATTCCCGAGTCGGAGCTGGAAGAGGACAAGCAGCTGCAAAAGGAGAGAGCAGCAAAGCTCAAAGAGCAGACGCCCAGTTTGGACATTTCCTCGATCGAGTACGAGGCAACGCAAGGCCTGATGGCGCTCAGCCTTGGTTTTCAGGCCACGGCACCACCGGCTCCCACCACCAGTGTTGGCCCGAACCATCAAGCGGAGCGAATTTACCAGGAAACATTTGATAACTACTTTGCCTTTGAGCACAGTTACATTGTTCCAAGGCCGGCGCTAACCATTGAAGAGGCGGCAGCGGAAGAGGCGGCGGCAAAGGCGGCGGCAGAGGCAGCGAACACAGTGCCGCCGGCTAAGCCTAAAGGAAAAGTTGGTCGACCGCGGAAGGAGAAGCTGGACAGTAACAACAAAGAGAATCAACAGCAGAAGGGACGAAAACGAAAGACGAACGAGACGGTGGCGGCTGGCGATGTGGCGACCTTTGACGACCTGGCGGAGCACACCTACGCCGTCGCCTCGGAGTGGCGGAACGCCAAGCGGAAGAACGTCGCCGCTAATGATCTTAGTGACAATTTTCTCTTGCAGACTGCTGTCGATGATGTTGCAAATAAAGCAGCAGCAGCGGCACTGCCCTCGTTTGCCACCGAGCCACTAGTCACTTTTCCTCCTCGGGACAGCAGCGCAGAGGCGAAGGTGCTGCTCGACTTCCTCGAGAACGGCATTGACGAGGAGGACGTGTCCTACCTGAAGCGCAGCTTCGAGGAGATGATGCAGGAGAATGTGCCCAACATGGCCTGGCTCAATGACACCTACTGGGTGGATGTGCCCATGCCGCCCAAGCGACGGCGCAATGAGGCCGCTGAGGAGTCCTCCGGTCGTGTCCACAAGAGCGGCTGCGCCCGCACGGAGGGCATCTACAAGCAGCTGTCGGCGGACAAGAACCGGTACTTCTTCCAGGAGACCAATGTCAAGAACAAGCTGCAGCAGACGGAGAGAGAGGCGAGGACGAACCAGCGGCGATTCATTGCCAGCGCACAGCAGGAGGTCTTCGGGCAGAGTGATCTGGTCAAGTTCAACCAGCTCAAGGTAAGTCATTCCGATTGCCCTTCCTCTTTCTTCACTTGTTGATCTCACCACTTGTGTGTTCTCTTCTTCTTCCCTCCATTGCAGTTGCGCAAGAAGCAGCTCAAGTTCAGCAAGAGTAAGATCCACGAGTGGGGCCTCTTTGCGATGGAGCCCATCGGCGTCGATGATATGGTCATTGAGTACGTGGGCGTGCAGCAGCGGGCCATCATGGCGGACACGCTCGAGAGGAAGTACGAGAAGTTGGGCATTGGCAGTTCGTACCTCTTTAAGATTGATTCGGAGACGATCATCGACGCGACGTTACGCGGCAATGTGGCACGCTTTATCAACCACAGTTGCACTGTAAGTAGTGGGGAGAGAGCTGCTGCTGCTGCTCGCGGTCTTCTGAGTGCTTGCCCCGAGGTCTTATCAGTCTTCTCGGCGGCGCACTCACACACACACACACTTGGAATGACTTTGATCATTGCGCACCTTTAACTAACTGTTGTTTTCCTTCTGTTTTCTCCTCCTCCTCTTCTTCTTTTCCCCTCCTTCGCACTACGCAATAGCCCAACTGTACCGCCAAAGTCATCCTCGTTGAGGGACAGAAGAAGATTGTCATCTACTCGAAGCAGGCGATTCAGGCTGGCGAGGAGATTACGTACGACTACAAGTTTCCAATTGAGGAGACTAATAAGATCAAGTGTCTCTGTCAGACGTCAGGATGCCGTGGTTTCCTCAACTAAAGCATGTGCAATGGTGTGCAACACAAAGTGTGTGCCTGTGTGCGGCAGCCGATGAGCAGACTGATTCATTTTTTCTGTACAAAATATATTTTACCCGACGAAACCTCTTTACTTCAAATTCAGTCTTCAGCTTCTCCGGCCCGCACACAGGCACACACAAACAAACAAACAGTCACTGTTAGGCCCATCTCATCTGTAAATAGTTTCCTCATTTAGAGAATTCTGCATGGTTTGAAGGCATCGTCTCTTCACTGCTGTATTATTATGAGCACGATTGTCATTTATTGCTCTTATTCTTATTATTTCTAGTTGATCGCTAGGGACTTTGCTACTGTATATTGTAAAATAAAAATTGTCCAACTGTTTTTTCATATAAAGAAAGGTCAAGAAGTTGAGGTTTGAGGAAGAAGTTTGAGAAGGAGGAGGAGAAGGATGAGGAGATAATTGAAATGGCAATGGTCAAATAGTGATGTCGCAAGGGCGTCAGTGGATACAACAGTAGATACAAGAAATGTGTGCTTTTTAAAATGTGGGTAAGCAGGAGAGTACTGCTGGCTCACGGCACCAATGGCGCAGAAGAGCTGAGCTGAGCAGAGCGGAGAAGAGGCGGCTGTAGTAACGGTGGCAATCGGCGTCAGGAGCAACAAGAGGCAAACAGGCGACATCATTTGCCCAGCACTGACAACAAATGTGCAGTGTTGCTGCTGTTGATGCTGATGCTGCTGTTGTTGTCCTCTCCCCTCTCTGCTTTCCTCTGCTCTCCTTCTCCCTTATCAGCGCCTGAAGAAACGCACCTAGCCACCCAGCAGTATCTCCCCTGACACTCTCTTCTGCTGATAAAGGTGTCCTGTGACCAGCATCTACCCAGTCTGGCCAAAGTTCTCTCTATCTTCCTTCGCTATCTTCTAAGCAGGCTGTCGTGTGCACCCGAGAACTCCTTTCTCTCTTTCTCCCTTCCACTTGCTCCTCGGAACGTCTTTCACAATCTTCGTCTTCTTCTCCTCCTCTTCCTTCTTCTGCTTCTTCTTCTTCAGTCTGCTGATCTCTTCTTCAGCAAAGTTTGTCGCCACTTTCTCTCTCTCCCTCTTTTCCCTCGTGTTGTCCTCAACTGTTTCAAACACTTTCCTCGTCTGCAAGACAAGACACTGTTTTTCCAACTGCCACTTATATATTGTTGTGATCACTGAGGAAAAAAGGTGGCCGAGGAAAAGTCTCACGGCGGGCTCCTTCTTTTCCCAGTGGTCGCCACTCTTTCCTTTTCTGCGCTGACCACCACAGACGATACAGGCAGAAGTACTGAGCACTACTTCAAGTGACTCACTTGGTCCTCTCTCTCACTCTTTGGCACCGAGCTGCTCCGACTCGAGAAGGTACCACTGAGAAGAGTAAAGTGAGTCATAAGACCACTGGCAACACCACAGTTCTTCCGTACTTCTGCAGCTATATACCTCACCGTGTTCCACTGGCCCACTGTCCAGTGTAGGCCGCTCTTTCGAAGCTTCCTCATTTCTATATAGTTAAACCGCCAAAAGTCGAAACCCCCAAATCAGTTTATACCGCTTATTTAAAGACGACAGCTTCATCCATGCCGAACAAATGCATTCTATAGTGGCGGCCAGTCTCAGTTGAGTCCATCACCCAAACATCTACATACGTACTTGTCCTCCAAATGTTTTGGAATAGAGTCGCAAATGCACCCCACTGGCGAACCACAACTGGCAATCATCAACTGTTTGGCGACGAGAAGACCATCATTTCACCTGCAAGCATAACATAACAAATCGTGTCATTCGAGCATCGACGATCAATAACAACTCCTTTTCAACTTCCACTCTTTTCGCTTGCAACAACTAGCACCCTTGCCGAAATTCATTGCGTCCAACATGTCCGAGCCCAGCAAAGTCGCGTTTGAAGTCGACTACAGGCGATCTCCGGTAATAACTGCACTGGCTAGTGATATGATATGATGGAGGCATGTGCATAGAACGCAATTGCTGTGTAGGCACTTTTTTCTGCATAAATGTTCTGGTCGATGCTCGTTTCGATGCGGTGTACGCAACGACAGCAGAAAACCGCGAAACACTGCCTGCCTGGCGCACTGAGGCGACCCTGATTTGTGTCTAACTGAACATCAACTTCTAATCTTGATGCATTTTCTTCCTCTTCTCTCTTCTCTCTTTCTCTCTCCCTCTGCTACAAACAGCTTCGACAGCGCAAGCAGAACTTGCCTGAAGAAGGAGGAGACTCGGTGGATGCGGCCGAAGGTAAGCCGCTGATGCCGGCTGATACTGGCAGTGCTGCATCGCCTCAAAATCGTAAACAAAGCGTAGACGGATTGGATTCCGATGCCGATGATAAGCTGATTGATGAGTCGAACATTGAGAGCCTGGTCAGGGACCTGCCTCAGGCCACTGACCGAACGGTGCAGTTTCTGGACAACCTGCTTGCTGTCCTCCCCAACAAGTATGCTATTATATTTCCCGCTCATTTCGCCGCTCTTCAAACTACCTGTACTTTTCCCTATCATTTCTGTGCAGATGGAGAAACTCTATTGTTCGTACCATTTTCACGTTGCTGATGGTAAGCGTCTTTTCGCTAATCATCTACTGGGGCCCTCTTCCGCTGATGCTGGTGGTAAGTGGCTACTGCTTTATCCTTTTGACTGCCACTGATTTGATCTGATTTGATTTATTTCTGCTTAGACCCTGATCGTACAAGTGAAATGCTTTCAGGAGATCATCTCCATTGGCTATTCGGTGTACAGGGTGCACAACCTTCCCTGGTTCCGTTCCCTTTCCTGGTACATGCTCATCGCCTCCAACTACTTCTTTTACGGCGAGAGCCTGATGGATAACATTGGATTTTTCATTCGAAACGCGGTAATTCTCCCTTGACGCACACTCCATTTACGAACTTCACTCAACTGTGGCTTCTTTCCTTGCGCAGAATTTCATGTCACCGCTGATGACATATCATCGTTTTATTTCGTTCTCACTCTACGTTGTTGGTTTTATTTGGTTTGTTCTTAGTCTGGTGAAGAGGTACTACCTGCGTCAGTTCTCTCTGGTAGGTGGCTATCATCACTACGGTGCCTTCTCTGAGCTAACACTTCTTCCACTGTTCACAGTTTGCCTGGACACATGTAACGTTGTTGATTGTGGTCTCTCAGTCGTACCTGATCATTCAGAACATGTTTGAAGGCTTGATATGGTTCATCGTGCCCGTTTCGATGATAGTGATCAACGATGTGATGGCCTACATATTTGGATTCTTTTTCGGCAAGACACCCCTCATTAAGCTGTCGCCGAAGAAGACCTGGGAGGGCTTCATTGGCGGCGGTCTGGCCACCGTGGTGCTTGGCATGGTTGTAAGTTGTTCAGTCTGACTCGCCAGCCAATGATCAGTTATACAGCTAACCGTTTTTGTGAACTCTGTAGATTTCACACGTTCTCTGCGGTTACCAGTTCTTTGTCTGTCCCATTGAGACCTACGATCACGCAGAGTGGACCTTCCACTGCAAGCCGTCCTTTCTCTTTCAGCTGACCGAGTTCCACTTTTCAGGAACAATGAAGTTTCTTTTGAAAATTGTAATTCTCTTGTGCCACTTTTCCCTTTGAAATCTCCTAATCTCTCTTTCCTAGATTGGCTTGCCACAAACCGTGGTCATGTACCCCTTTGTGCTGCACTCCTTGGCGCTGTCGCTCTTCAGCTCGATCATCGGCCCCTTCGGGGGCTTCTTCGCCAGCGGCTTCAAGCGGGCGTTCAAGATCAAGGACTTTGGCGACGTCATTCCGGGGCACGGCGGCATCGTCGACCGCTTCGACTGTCAGTACCTGATGGCGACCTTCGTCAATGTGTACATCTCCAGCTTCATCCGGGCGCCGAATGAGGCGAAGATCATCCACATGATCAGCCAACTGAAACCCGAAGTGCAGATGAACATCCTCAAGACGATTGCCCAAAACTTGAACTTGAATACGACAATGCCAGTTGTGTAGAGAAAGATTAAAAAGTCTAACCAAGTATTATTAATCACACTGTTTTCATTCCTTGTGGGTAGCAGCAGCAACCTCTAGTCACACGATTTATTGATAAAAGCCAGTATAAGCGTTTCTCAATATTAATAAAAGTAATACTTAATCGGTGTTATCATCAATCTTGGGAGCCAGGTAGTAGCGAATGTGACCAATGTCAGTGTCTCCGTCGTCGTCGGTCTCGACGACCTTGTACTCGACCACCAGCGGGACATCGGGCGAGAGCGACAGGGTCACCTGCGAGCAAAGTGGAGTTGCCTTTGAGAACTGGATCAGGTACTTGAGAGCAAAGGTCTGTGAGATGCCTTCACTCATGGAAATGCTGACTGCATCTTCGGGCTTATCAAGGCTGGGGCTTTGTGAAAGACGAACAGAGCCGCTTCCGAGATCACCCATAGAGGCGAACTGGACTTCAGCCTTGGTGGCGGTGATCACAACAGTGTCGCCAATTTGGCTCAGATCACGGCAGATTCGCTGAAACTTGCTTGAAGGCATCTTAATTGTGACATTGTAGTCAGTGTCCGGAATGCCGAGATACTCGGAGTCCAGGTTCATCAGCTTGACTTCGTACTCTGAGACTTCGCTGTCATCTAGTAGGAAAAAAGCATTGGTGAGGATGACACTCGAAACAAAGGATTTGCAAAAGCTTACTGGCCGCTTCGAAAATGAGTTTAATTTTGTCCTGGTCGTCGTGACCGGCTTTCATGGTTATCTTGTCGTCGTTGGCTGCGCATTTCAAGATTTTGGCAAGGTTGACGAGATTCATGCCAAGGACCATGTTGCGGTCGCAGCGGAATCGGGAGAAGCCGTCGCCGTTCAAGTTGACGGTGACCAGCGACACATGAGAGGTGTCCATGGCCTGCAGTGACATGCCATTTGGGGTGCACTCCCAGCTGGCCTCGGTGACCAGGTCCTTCACCGAGTCGAGAATCTTCTTCAGCACGAGGCCCTTGTCGAGTTTGGCTTCAAACATTGTTAAAGGGATGAATGTTCTGTGTTTTGTGGAGAAGGAAAGAAAGACTGGAGA